ACAGATTTAGTGAGTATGTCATGTGCCAGACACAGTTCTAAGTACTGAAGACACAGCAGTCTGTGCTCATTTTACTCGGTAACTTGCTCTGAAGAGGTACCTCCAAGGATCTCACTCTTTCGTGGGATCTCTTCTCAATCACTTTTGTTCAGTATTGTGAAACCTATGGGCCTTCGATCAGGGAAAAAAAATGTCCTTAAACCAGTCTAATCCATGGCAAGGTCCTCTTTGGAAGGGGAGTAGCAAGGACTGGTGAGAAGGGAGCTATGAGTGCTTTTTGAATTAGGACCTGCTCCTTACTGTGGAGAATAGCTCACTCATTCCTACCTTCCTCCAGGTCTCATGAACATGCACAATCCTGTGTGTTGCATCTCCTAACCTCATCTGATTCTCTTCTCTTTGCCTGGTCGTGGACTAATTTCCCTTTAGCCCACGTGATGATCTTTAAGTTAAGTCTCAGCCTATTTAGACTCAGGCTGCCTCACTCACCTTGAAGTTGCTGTCTTTATTATATTATGGCAGTCAAAGGTTGTTTTTTTTGGGCAGAGAAGTTACTCTACTGGATGGTGGACTACCTGTCCTGAATGTTCACAAACATATACTTTTGTTTTCTGGAGTTCCTCCTGGTTTGTTTTCTGATGGATTTCTGTTGACTCCCAGATTGAACCAATGCTTATCCTGTGTTTGGTGTATCAGGCTTTTCTGTTCTGATTGATTTACTGTAGCTAATTTCTAGGGAGACTTCAATTCCTCACTAAAGTCAAGTTCCTTGCCATACAGGTCCAGTATTTCTAACTCCCATTCAGACAGAGAATTTGTTTTTATTACCCACAAGAGAAAATGATCTGGCTTTCCTGCTCTAAAGATACCCCTAGTATTACTATTTTTTCCAGTCATGTGTTTTCAGATATTTTTCTTTAATTGACCTTCTCTATGGTCAGATTTGTGACTGTGTTCCTTCTCCTAGTTTATTAATTCTTAAGAGCCCTCCTAGAAGAGTGTAAGTGTGCTTAACCTGTTATTCTAGAGACATATAACAGAACTAAATACTTTCCACTCCACACAAGGAGAGGCTATTTTGAACTCCATGTATCTTCACACAGAGGTTACTCCAATAACTTGTGGCGGGGAGGCCCATTGGAATATGGAAACAGACAGAATAAAATTTGTTCCCTTTTCCCCAAATCTCACATAGCCTCATATAATTAAATGAGATCTTGGTTACCTCTCAGCCTGTAAAGATTCCCCTGAGTGAGTATGTGTCAGCCCCTGTCTTGGTTCATTTTATGCTGCTATAACAGAATACTGACTGGGTAATTTATAATGAATAGGCTGCATGATTTATAATGAACACAAATATATTTGGGTTATGGTTCTAGAGACTGAGAAGTCCAAGAGCATGGTGGTGGTATCTTGTGAGGGCCTTCTTCCCATGTCATAACATGGTGGAAGCCATCAAATGGAGTAGAGAGAACATGCTCAAGGGTGGAATAGCAGGGGGCCAAACTCATCCTTTTATCAGAAACTCACTCACATGGTAATTCATTTCCGCAGCAACGGTATTAATCCATTCATGAAGACAGAGCCCTTATGATTGAACCGCCCCTTAAAGGTCTCATCTCTCATCTCTATTGCATTGAGAATTAAGTTTCCAACACATGAACTTTGGGGGACACATTCAAATCATAGCAACTCCTTATTACCCAAATTTATCCTTATACTGGCCAACCTACACATTACAAATTTACATTTAAAAAAAAAGTTATTAAGATTTGCTAACTTAAAAGATTTGCATGTTGTAAAAAAAATCAAATAAAAAGCAAATAATCTTTAAAAAAATTTGCATTTTTAAAATACAATGTATTGACCGGAATGTAGTCAAGTTATCTATAGCTGCTGGTTGATAAAGGCGACAGAATTGACAACTCCCACATCTGTAATTAAATGTGTGAAACTAACAAATGGAAATAATAGAGAAAGATTATTTTTCTTTACTGGTCATGTTGTGACATCAATTTGTTTTAAATGATGAGAAAAGAACTTAAAGGATTTGCGTTTTATTATAGTGCAAATTAACATTCAACTACTGAAGTGAAATAGATTTGCATAAGAGTTATCACTATCAATGATCATTTGAAATTCATTTTGCCCGGATAAATTAGAATCTCCAGTGATAACAAGCAAGAGTTATCTCCTGCATTTTTGAAAAAAGGTTAAAATAATAGCTATTTCCTATAACTGGATCTTGAGATTGGACATAAACCTTGTACATGCAGCTTTCCTTATCTGATTTTAAGTTTCCTTTAACTGTAAACATGAGTTAATGCCATGTGAAACTAGGAAAATAAAATGGAATTTGAAAATGATGTTGGATAGATTAAAGTAAGGAAATCCTAGATTTGAATGATATGGAAATGTCACCTAGTTCAGTCTCATGGAGGGGTACATAGTGCCTCTAGCTGCTATCATCCATAATGATCTCCAAGGAAGAAAGTAGATAAAGATCCTTTCATCATCAATTGTAGGACTCCCCTCAACCCTGCCCCAAATATTAGACCTTCAAACTCTCTTTTAGTAGTAAATTTTTTGTAGGTATTAATATATATTTTAAATAACATATGACAGAGATGATAGAGGTGATAATAATAAGTAATCACTCTCCTTATTACTCTGAAAATATTGTATATAACAGTAATATCAACCACAATCAAAATGCCATATATTGAGTATTTAAATGGGCTAGACTCTCCTCTGATCCTTTTTTTAAAAAAAGGATCATTCCACTAGTTTCCATTGCCATTATGAAGAAATAGGGACTTAGAGAAGTTAAGTAATTGGCTCATTTCCACAGTTTTTAAGGGACAGAGTTGTTATTCAGGAGCAGACCACATACTTCAAACCCTCCTGACCCTGCATCATCATACAGTAACTGTGTATCTACTGAAAAATCTGTGGTTAGGTCTCTTGTGAGCTTGACCTCTGAATTAATTATTTTCCATTTCTAACATTTTTCCATAGTGTCATGTTCCAGCATTAGTCACTTACGAAGATGTAGGATGTGCTATTATTTTAAATCCACATTCATCAAGAAAAGAGGCCTAATTGGAGCGAATTAAGGTAGCTAGCTGCAGTTTCCTGATGATTAAGCACTAGAATATGTTGCTAGGAGAAATTGGAGAATTTTGTTTTTTGAAAGTCTGAAAGAAAAGCACAAATAAGGTTTCAACAAACTCTAACTGGAACCCTAGTTTCCTGATTTGTTAAATGAATGGTTTAGAGTAGGTGATCTCCCTTGGGTCTCGGATCAACCCTAACAACCCACAAGTCTGTAACTTTAAGTAGCAATTGGATGTTATAACCTCTCAAGGTCATTTTTAGACTTCTATTTTTATGCTTGAATGATTCTTGACTCTCTTTGGTTCAGCGCCACATTCTTGAGTTTCTTTCAAATGGAGATCTCCTAAGAGCTATTATTTAACAGTACCCAAATGTGCAATGTACAGAATTAAATACAACCATGCATTTAAGACTTTAACAATCATAGGTCATCAGCACTGTGTGTTCTTTCTCCTATTTGATTAAGGTTAAACAACAAGATGATGTTTCCTTATTGGGTAGCATTTGAAAGTGTATTGTGTATGTGACAGATGGGATCTTATAAATGCATTAGGCATGCTTATTTTAATATCTAAGCATATGCAAAAGTTCTAGAAATATTTTACATGCAAATGTCTGGAGCTCCACTAGGGCCCATAATAGAAATCCGTACTCTGTGACTTCAAAGCCCTAGTCTCGACAACTAATCACCTGGCTATTTCCAAATCAAATTTCTTCAACAAATCAAAGGCATTTGTCCTACCCAAGAATCAAGTTCTGTGGCAAGTTTGACATTTCAAAATCAAGCTGCTTATTGAGATATTCATGCACTGAAAAAGGCACATAGAATTTCTTTTAAGAGATGAGACACACCTTTTTTATGCTCCAATGAATTAGAAATTTCTCAAAAAGAATTTTAACAAATTTTCTACACACACACACACACACACACACACACACACACACACACACTCCTCATCTTTGTGGTAAGAGCCAAGATTCAGAATTTCAGCCCGAGAGATCTTTCATTTTCTGAAAGTTTATGAGCCTCTGTGATTTCACTCCTTTTAGAGTCATAATTACTGTGTTGCTTCCTAGTTGCTAACAGTAACCCTGATTAAAAGGAAGAGAAAAAAAGAAGAGATTGTCCACATACCAATATTAAGTGGCTTCACAAAGCGGGGCTGAGGAATATTTCTAACACATTTGTGGTAAGTACAACAAAGTGTGCAATTCACTGGGAAGCAGGACAGAAAAGATGGAAATAATAATGTCAAATAACTCACTTTACCCAGGGCTCCCTATGGGCAAGGCACATGCCAAGTCCTCCACAGGCATTATTGCATTTAATACAACAGCCCTCCAATGAGACACTTTTACTATAGCATTTTTACCCATGAAGAAACTGAGGTTCAGAGAAGTTGAATAACTTGACAAGAGTCACCTAGACTCCAAAGCCTCTGTTCTTAATGCTCAACTATGCTGCTGCCTTTTCTAAGAGAAGAGTAAAACGAGAAGTCCTGGGAAGACGAGTGATATAGTCTGGATATTTGTCCTTGCCCAAACCTCATGCTGAAATATAATCCCCCATGTTGGAGCTAGGGCCTGGTGGAAGGTGTTTGGATGATAGAGACTGATCCCTCATGAATAGCTTGGGACATCCTCTTTGTGGTAAGCGAGATCTTGCTGAGTTCACATGAGATCTGGTCATTTAAAAGTGTGTGGCACCTCCACCCCCACTCTCTCTCACTTGCTCCTGCGTTTGCCACATGATGTGCCTGCTCCCCCTTCACCTTCTGTGTTGATTGTAAGCTTCCTGAGGCCTCCCTAAAAGCCAACCAGGTGCACCATGCTTCCTGTAAAGCCCGCAGAACCATTTAAATAAGCCATTTAAAACACTTCTCTTTATAAATTACCCAGTCTCAGGTATTTCTTTATAGCAATGGAAAAACAGCCTAATACAAAGCGGTGACTAACAACATGAAGACCAGAGTAAGCTTAGATCCACCCTGTGTTTATACAGGCTGGCCCAGAGCCAACACTTAATACATATTTGTTGAATAAATAAATGAATGGGTGAATTCAAGACAATGTAAAATAGTTTATGGGGCACACTGGCCCTTTGACCCCCACTAGTCATCCAGTCCATTCCAGCATCTATCAGTTGTCTATGATTCTCTAATAGAACAGGGCTTCCATTCCCAATGCACAAATTTGTGAAGAACAAAATGCCTACTTGACAGCCTCTGCCTTCTCTTGTTCTTTGCTGGGACTGCTATTTTCCAAGCCTGTGTTCTCTTCCATGCTGGCCATTGACTGTCCAGAACTGGCCATTGACAGTCCAGCAGGCCCAGGGCAAGCTCCGCTCATAAGATTTTTGTAATCATCTTTCTTCTTCCTTCCTTTTCTCTATTCCAGTCAGAATTTCAGCATTTCTAGAAGCAATTGCTTGTTTGCTTGTCTGCTGTCTTCTTCACACAGTAAGATATGTGAAGACAGGAGCTGCATCATTATTATATCTCCAGTGCCTGGCATCGTACCTGGAAAAAAGTAGTGGTTTAGTCAACATTTATTACTTAAATTAGTGAATGAATGCATGGATGGATGAGTGCTCTCCATTGCAAACATTGCTTATCAAGATTGCAGGTAATTGAGTACTATTACTATTAATTGTTATTATAATACTGAACTTATTTGGAAATGTTACTATTAGAAGAAACATATTTTCCAGGTGTGTGTGTGTGTGTATGTGTGTGTAAAACTATTATGTTCCTCATTTATTCAACAAATATTTATTGAGTATGTACTACGTGACAGGCACTAGGGTATATTATTATGTTATTGTTGACTATTATCTTTCACCACCCCTTTAAATATTTTAGGAGAGTTCCCTCTCTCTCACCCTCTCTCTCTTCCCCTCTCTCTTTTTGCTTGTGGATGAAAATTCCAAAAGGCTCTATAATTTTCTGCATAATAGACACCCTGAAATGCCTTGAAGACATAAACATAGGCTCAATTAAGGAAATATGATTTGTAGTTCCATGGAATAATCAAAACTCTGAACTTGAGTTAATATTAAGCTTTCTCCACTTTCAAAGGTGGAGCCCTGCTTCAAGGAGGGGTCATAGGACTTAGGTGCATTCCCCGCCCTCTCCATGCTCACCTCTTTTCTCACCTGATATGCCCAACTCAGGGCTGGACAAGAGGTGGGAGGGAAGAAAAGGGGATAGGACCTTAGTCTCACTAGTTCTTACTCGCTGTTGGTTCTCTGAGCCTGGCATATGGTTCCAGTTGTACCTGGTTGAAGAAGCTTTTATGTCCTCTTCAGAGATCTCCCACCAGACCCTTTCTTCTGAGGGTCCTTATCCTAAGCACATATTCTAGTCTAGGTGGTCTCTGGTGATTCTTCCCTAAGCCCCAAGTAGCTGGAGGGCACATACTCAGCCTTAGTGTAAATCTTCCAGACTTTCAGGCATGATGTAAGAAAATCCCACACTTGCTGTCTCACTCACATGGCTCTCATATGCTTCATGGGAAACAATTGATATCCCTGCCCCAACAGCCTCTGGGAGTTAGGGGTCAGTTAGGCATCAGTCCTCTCTATCTCCTGACCTGAAAATAGCCCACAGACCTTTCAATGACCCTCTTGCATATCCCTTCTCTAGACCTGGGGTAGAAATAGGAAGGTGGAGATGGCTAGGGAGGCGAGAGTTTTCTAATGAGATTCCTCACCTGGCCCTCCCGCTCACCATACTCTAGGCCTGCTTGGATTCTCAAAGCAGATAGTAAGTTCTAGGATCCAGAAACTTAAAAAAAATCTGCATTTGTTAGGTTGGCCTTGGAAATTTCCATTTTATTTTATAGTCTCCTTAGATCCTTCAATTTGGGGCACGTTATTTTGTATAGTATATGATATATACTTACATATCAGTATATATCATATATTATATATGTTATATTTGATATATATTTATATATCATATATTTTACATATAGTGTGTGTGTTTCTTTGTATCTCGAGTGTTTTGAGCACAACTTGTGGAATGCAATGATAAAATTATTTTGCTATCTCTCCCTTTAAAATATATTCAGTTCTTTCTCTGCTCTTGGATGAATACTCAACTTGGGCATTCTCAGAGCTTTTCTAATATCTCTTAGATAATAAGAAGGATTCCGGTCACTTAAATAATAAAATACTGTCACAATTTGATACCTGAAGTGTCCAGTTCTACGTAGTAGTCAAACCTCCCATCTTCATTCAAAATTACACCTACTCCCCGTCCTCCCAGTGGGCCTGCAGTCTGGGAATATGATGCATCTAATTTTTTTTCTTTTTCTTTTCTTTTTTTTTTTCTTTTTTTTTTTTTTTTTTTGAGGCAGAGTTTCACTCTTGTTGCCCAGGCTAGAGTGCAGTGGCATGATCTTGGCTCACCACAACATCCACCTGGGTGGATTCTCCTGCCTCAGCCTCCCGAGTAGCTGGGATTACAGACATGCACCACCACGCCTGGCTAATTTTGTACTATTAGTAGAGATGGGGTTTCTCCATGTTGGTCAGGCTGGTCTTGAACTCCCAACCTCAGATGATCCACCCACCTTGGCCTTCCAAAGTGCTGGGATTACAGGCGTGAGCCACCACACCTGGCCAATTTGTTTTCTTTTTCTTGCTCCTCACTGCCCTAGCTAGCAGCTATTTATAGACAATTTTGAGTTGAAGCAAGAGGGTTGGAGGAGAGGCAAGATCTTACATCAACAGTTTTGCTGTAAGTTGGCCTCATGTTTTCTGGGTCTGGCCAATATTAAAGCTCTTTGTCTCATGGGATACTTTCAGAGGTTCTTTGAAATGCCCCCTCCCACTGCTGTGCTGGGAAACTTTCAGCAGCACAGTTCTCTTGATACACATCATGTATTTTCCTGACTTGTTTCCTACTTCTTCCACAGTCCCTAGGAATTGGGAGGTGGTGTTCACCCCTGGCTTCTGCATGCTGAGTTTTCAGTCTCCCATCTCAAAGGCCTCATTGAACAGGATGGAGTAAACACAACCTCATTCTGAGTGCCTTGTTTGTAGGGCCTGTGTTTAATCTAAGGGAAACATAAAACTTCTACTCCTAGAAACTCTAGGAGACACATCTGCCATTGTTACCACTGGAAGTGAGATGCCAGTTCACTATATCACCCCAGTTACAGGGCACAGATACCAAATTTCCAAGTGATTTTGTCAGAATCTCTTTCACTAGTAGAAGTGAGGGCGCAAGCACACTTTTGGAAGAGGGACATCAAAGTACAGTTCTTGCTAAAGAAATAAGAAATCCCCCCTCAAATTCTTTCTGCTCTCAAACCTTTTATATCCTCAGTGTGCCTGAATTGTCTGCAAACCATGTAATTACTTTTTGTTATTTCTTTTTCAAGTCCTACAGGCTGGCCTGTTTCACAGATCATTTTCATCTCTGATAACTGTGAGAGCTGAGTGTTCAGCCAAAATTTCCAGTTGAACATCCGGATATGTACACATTAGATACACACAACTGTCCTATGGTATCAGCAGCGTACATTGTTATTCCTATTTGACGTGTGAGTAACCTAAAGTACAGACAAGTGAAGTAACCCGCACCATGACTAGTTGGGTTTTCTCACTCCATGTCTTCACTCTTTCCCTGACTATGAGTTAACACATTGTCCTTTTAAGAATGGACTGAAGGTCCAGCAAGTGGATGCACAGAAGTAATCTTATTGGTTACTTTAGATTTTGCATAGGGCTACAAAATTACTAAGAAGTACTTACAACAAATAAATATAACATGCATTTGATGGGAAGTAAAATAAAATAGTAGATTTAATGATGGTTTAGAATAAGTAGTATTAAGTAACAAAATAGGCTGACATAAAAAGGAACAAAAAAAGACCGAAAAATATATGCATAGTAAAAATTAAAAGAAAAACATTGTCTATTATTGAAAATTAAGTATCTGGTCATGTGATAATAACAGCTTAATGTAGTTTGCCAATATTTGAAAGAAAACTGATTGACAGTAGCTTATCACCAATAATGAACCCCACACTTGTGCCATAGAAAATGTCTTGGGACACCAAACCACCCCCTACCCAACCCCCATGTTGTAACATCACATTAATACAAGGAGGTGGATGCACAGACCTAATGTGAATGTGAAGTAGGCCATAGTATAGGACTACCCAGCATACATACAAGCCCACCCTGAGGGAAGTACTGAGCAAGAATCTAGGTGGGCTCAAGAGAATGAATAAAGGAAGGAGAGCAGGGTTAAATAAATATGTGAGATGAAGCATATGGTTTGAGAATTTTTGGGGTCCCACAGATCTATTGTAGGGTACTATTGGTAATGACACTCATGAACCATACGTACCTTCACCTGTTCTACTACCTAGCTGATTTTCTTGAGTAAAGAGGTCATCTGCTGGTGCCTTGGGATTGGTACTGCTTAAGTCATTTCTAAACCTGCATTCTTACTTCCCTTTAGGGTTGGACCTAGAAGGAGAAAGAGGAAGGACATGAAACAAAGAGTTGACACCTTCTTTTTTTTTTTTTTTTTCTTATTTTAAAGGTACCATTAGACCTATCTTATACTTCATTTGACTTTCCATCATGTTCAATTTCAGATTTTTTGTTCAATTGCTTATATCATTTAGCAACCTTTCAAAATTGAATGCTGCCTTTGGAAGTAAAGAACATCTGCTATAAATCTAGTTGTGCTGGAGATTTTTCAAGAAGCTAGAGAGGCAGATGCTGCCATATAGAGTTGGCAAAGTCCAAAAGACATGACTTACAGGCACACCAAGCCTAGGGAAACTGATGAGAAGTAGTGCTGCAAAATAACCCTTAGAGGAGGACTTGTAAAACAAAGGAATTTAGAGGATACTGGAAGTAGAAATGTAATCCAAGTATGAAATAAAAACACAAAAGCTACAGCTATAATACCTTCGCCTCTAGTCTCTTTTCTCAAGCCTACTCTTCATTCCTGATTTTGCATCGTGATCTCAAAGTACTGATTCCTGATTTTGATTGGCCATTTCTCAAATTTCCCCTATTAATTTGGAATTTTCTAGTTTGCTACATATGGGCCTTCCTGAACCATACAAAGAGAATGCCTCTCTCTCTGCTTTAAATGGTATAACAGATATAGATGTGTTTTTAGCTCCTCAGAATAATAGAGAATACAAATGTTGGGTCTGATTTCTGTCTTATTATTCAGTTTGGTCTGAATTCAGGATCTGTTTAACATGTATTGATTTATCTGTTAGGCCCACTTTGTCATTTTAACATGCATATTGAAAAAAGAAGAGGTATTGAATTCAGTCATTCATATCTTTTTCAAATTGGAATCAACCTCAAAAATCTCCACAATCTGAAAATGTTCCTGTGGGTAGGGCCATTTCCTCAGGGGATATGAACAGGTTCATGAAGATGTCCCACACCTCCAGATTTGTTCCTCTTTTTCATCAGTGCTCCTTTCTGATCTTTGCCTGGGCCCTTAGGAGGGCTTTCTGCCATGTCAGTATCCTGTCAATTTCTACAACTCTATGAAGTTTTTCACATAGTAGAATATAGTGTCAAAATGTCTTGATGTCTTATTACAACCTTGACCCAATCTTGGCAGCAGGATTTCTGAACACACTCCTGGTGCCTTTTTCCTGATGCATTTATTATCCATTGTGAGAGCTAAATGATATCTCGACCACATCCTGTTCTTCCTAGAATCCATATCACCTTAAACATCTAGTAGTCTCATTTTTGACATTCTGGTGGGGAAACCTATTTTTAGGTAAAGTTGCTTAGTTTTGTTGGAGGAAAGTTTGATTTTACAAAGTCTCTTAAGTTTCTTGAATTAGGTTTTCTAATCTATTTGTTCATTCACAAATATTTATTGAGTGTATATTAGAGTTATTCAGGGGAATAGGACTCATAGGATGTGTGCGTGTGTGTGTGTATATATATGTATATATATGTATGTATATATATACACACACACATTTTCCCTACTTTCTTCCACTTATTACCCTTGGCTGAAGCATGAAAATATATTTCATGTACACACACACACACACACGCGTGCACGCGTAGGAAAAGATTTATTGTGAACTGGCTCATGTGATTATGGAAATTGACAAGTTCTAAGATTTGAAGTTGGCAAGTTGGAAACCCTGGAGAGCCAATGGTATAGTTCTCATTTGAAGGTTGGCAGCCTTGAGACTCTGGAAAAGCAGATGTTTCAGTTTGAGTCTGAAGGCTGAAAAACATCATGTCCAGCTCAAGGCAGTCAGGCAGGAGGAAATTCCCTCTTTCTCATGAGAAGGTCAGCCTTTTTATTCTATTCAGATCTTCAACAGATTGGATGAGGTATCCCTCATGTTAGGAAGGGCAATCTGCTTTACTCAGTCTACTGATTCAAATGTTTATCTCCTCCCAAAATACCCTCATAGACATGCCCAGGATAATGTTTGACCAAATACCTGGGTACCCCATGAGTCAGTCAAGTTAACACATAAATTAACCATAACATGTACATACTGTGTGTACTCCAGGTACTTACTTAACAGACCCTTTTTAATGTTAATTTTATTATTATAAATGTGGCTGAGAAAACAGTATACTCTTCGTAATATTGTTGCAAATGAATTAGGCAGATGTTTAAGGGTAGGATTTCTTGTTCTGGTGAGAAGATACGTATGACTGCCTTTGTCATCTCAAACAAAGATGGAAAAAGTGTCATGACTTAGGGTAGCTAATGGTAAGTACCATGGCAATCACTCCCTAAATTTTCTAGTTTAATTAAAGAAAAACTTATTTCTAACTTACTTCACTGTCTGATGAAGGTCAGGAAACTCTCCTATGTGTCTTACCTCCAAGTTGTAGAATTCAGGCCCCTTTCATGTGTTTAAATATAACCTTTTTTTCTTCCCCTCCAACTCCCCTTCCTAAAGATAAGCTTTTAAATCAATAGGTATCTCACAGTACTTTGGGAAGGAAGGTAAAATAAAGTCAACTCCAAAATTGTATATTTAATTGATTACTGACCTCTGTAATTTAAAAGCTGCTTGATCTTGGACAAATAATTCTTTTTCATTGATGATCTTGGAACCCAGTGGGAAAGAACTACAGATCGAAGTAGTAAATTAAATATTGAAGATGTTTTGTTACTCGAGGAATCTTCTGTTAGGTTGGTATAGCGGAGGAAACCTTCCAATTGAGTTTTGAGTTTAAGTAACAAGTTTTGCTCATCAAACTGGGCAATCTGGGCAAACCAATTAACCACTCTGGGCTTTAGTTTCCTCATTTGAAACTTAGCATGTTAGCCACACTGATCTGCTAAGATCACTTCCAAATCAAAATTGCAATTATTCTAGTGGGATCATCTCTTTAGATCTGCATTAAGGATGAGGTCTACTTGGAGGGGAAGGAATCAAGTAGAAAGATGTGAAATGGTTCCTCCCTCCATATGGAAAAATCTGCCTGAGATTTAGACAGACACTATTCAAAACTGTAAGTCCACTGAGCACCAACTGCGGTACAAAAAGTTAAGTTCCCAGGTCTCATTTACGGAGTAGTAGCTGCTTGTTAGTTAGAAAATGCCAGTGATTCAGCTGGAGAAGCTGAGGCAGAAGGCAGTTATGCAACCATCACAAAAGGGTATAGGGGAAGCACTTGAACCCATATCAGGCATTCTGCTTCTGGTCAGATGTGACAGCTGGATTCAATATCATTTTAATCTTTATTCATTGTTTCAATCTGTTAGCACTGTTATAGTTCAGAGCTCCACACAGAATGCAGATTTGCTCAAATGACTTCCCAAGAACTTGTAGCAAGAGCACTTAGAGCCATCCTGGACAGACCCATGCTGTGCCTCACACATACACAACATCTTCAAGGGGTCATACAGAAAGTGCCTCCAAACCTCCCCACCCGCTTCCACTTTGCCACAACCCCAACAAAGGCCACCCATCTTGAAAAGGTTTGCTTTCCTGTGGAGTAGGAGGTATAATTAAATTGTGTCCCAGCAGTGAAGGTTCCTTAATGACGATGAGCCAAAACTAATTGTACTGATTTGTTTATCACTGGCTTAGGAGACCCATCAAACAAATGGACTGAGACTATTTCCATATTCTTATCTGTTGGATAAATGAGAAACAAATAACCTCTCCATATGTCTGCATCCTGAAGTCACTGCCCTCTAAGGCTGAGTGCTCTATGGCGTCGGGTGGGAGCTTTCTCCAAAGCTGGGGCCATTCTGCCCTCTGGCTTCTTCAGATAGGTGAAGAAAGCTGAAAATTTTGGTGTTCATTCTTTTATTTTTCATTTATTTAGAAGGATTTGTTTTTAACAGTTACAATTTGGATCCTTGCCAAAGGTGCCAGATGGCCTGTTTTCTTTGGGAGACCTGGTCATGAGTATTAATAACCCTAATTTGGAATTCTCTGTGGAAGAAGGAGCCACAAGATTTGGAGTGGGAGGAAATGTAGAATCACTGATATCAAGTGAATTCAGAGAAAAAGACTCTTGAATCTTGGTCACAAGTGAGGCATAACAGTAGGCAGGCAGCTTTGGGGGGCCACAGAAGGAGAAGCCTGATGTACCTGCACCTACCCCTCTTAGTCTTGGGGAGCCTTCCCAATCTATTGCTCTACAAATTAAGACAAATAGAGAGGATTAAAGGAGAGCTCTGGACAGAGCCATAGCAACATCCAGAGTTAGGTTATTGGGCCCAAGTGGAAAAGGATAAAATAAATGGCTTCAAGAATGTGAAGAAATTAGCTGCAAGAATGTGAAACTAAACAGTGGATGGAGGCTTGATCTGTGACTATTCGCTTTCACTGAGATGAAGGAGCAAAGCTCAACCTAGTCTTTAGAAAAGATTTAGGGGAACATAGAAAGAAAGCCATCATTGAGTTCGTGTTCTGCTCCAGTTACTTGGCTAAAGAGTGGTCAGGAGTGAACCTGACATATATCGTTTCTTTAATTCTTTTGCCTAGCCCAAGAGGTTGGTATTCATATCCCGCTTTGGAGAGGAGGCATCTATGAATCTCATAGTTTAAGTGTCCAGTTAATGTTTGCAAATTGAAAGCCACTATTATCTGCATCAAAGCCCATACTCTTAATGGCTGAAGACTGATCTCTCACTCTCCTTCCTCATCTTTCCCATAGAAAGCAAGGAGTTCCATTCAGGACCTCTATGTGGGCAATATTGAAGAGCATGAGCCTTTCTTCCTCTCTCACTTGCCCTTACACTCTTCCAAAGGAGGGCCTCATCTGAAAAGGGAGAGAGCCTGAAGCCCTTTGACTGAACTGGTCAGGGGCAGGACCACGATATTGATACACACCTAGGCCACCCTATGGCTGAGTTCTCTCTCGTGCCCTTTACACCAATCTGTGTCCTGCTCCAAGGGCCTTGCCCCTGTGACTCTATGCAGTAAACAGGCCACACAGCTGCTTCTGGTAGCCCAGGCAGAACTCTGAGCAGAACCCTGGTCTCTGTTTCGGTTTGTAC